CTTTACCAGTGCTCCAGGCAGGCAAGACGCAGACCATGTCTCAGCCAGAAGCCTCAGTCAGACTGCGGTTGTACCCTGGCTGTGAGCTCCACTGAGCTGTGATGGGCTCATGCAAAGCCTATGTATGTTCCCTTCTGGGAGGCCAGACTGAAAGCCTCTAAAAATCTGGTTTGGGAAGTTTTTTTTTTTTTTTTTTTTTTTAAAGAATACCATCCTCAGCTAACTACAGCACACCACTATCTGGGCCAGTTCAGAAAAGCAGCAACTGCTGTAGGGTATAATACCCCAGTTCGTATATGACTCTCGTAGTGATGTTAGGCAGAAGGTTAGGTCTAGCCTCAATCCCATTCTGAGAATGGCTTTGGCATCAGGAAATCCCTGTCAAATTTGCTTCCGTCCCAAGTGATGCTGTTTAACAGAGCATCTTTCTAGTTCTCCATGGTTAGGTGCCTGGCCTATGGAGGTTTTTAATGCATCAGGCTTTTAAACAAGTGGAATTAGAGCTAAATCCATTTTATCGTCATGTTCTAATTGATCCTGAACAAAAGAGAGATAAAGCAGTTTCTCTACTTGTTCAGTTATGAAATTCATTGCACTGTTTCTAGCCTCTTTGCAGCCGTTAGAATGAGAGTCAGATTCCTCTTCTAAAATCTAGCTCCCTCCCAGGATGGTTATTCATGTCAGCATTTAATTGATTTTGTTAGTGTAAATTAATAGTTTGAACAACTTGTGGCCTCCCAGGACATCTGTGATGGCACGTTCCTTACGCTCACTGACTACTGTTACAGGTACTCTCCAATATTATACGGCTAGGAGCAAAAGCTTCTGTGTTGCAGTCTGATCCTGCCACTGCTGTTTCTTTGTGACACGGAACAAGTAAGTCACTTTCCTTTGTCTGCCCATTAGCAGGAGGGAGTAAAAACGCCTAAAAGGGACAATTTGTCTGTGCATAACTTTCTATATGAATATGCCTGACATTATTGTACAGCCTGAGCTGTCAAAAAGCTAAAAGCTATTGATTGTACTGGGGTCATGGTGACAGCCTCACATGTAACACACAAGGTGGCATGCATAGCCAGGTACAGGGTAGACCGGTGAGGGCTGTGGGCAGTCCTCAGTCTGCACAGATCCCAGTAACAGGCTCCCCGTGATCTGCTAGGCTTTGCCTGAGTGCAGAAGTGAGCATGCCGATTTGTTCAAATCAGCTTTGAACAAATTACAGAAAAGCAGTGATTCTTTTTCAAGAAGTTTGCTACTCTCTCATCTCCTTTTTAATTAGCTATACAGTAAATTAATCATGACTGGTGACTCACAACTGATTAATAAGGTCCTTAAAACTAATGCTAGAATACAGTAGCACTGCAAACGGCAGGAAAGTCTAGCTGCTGATAAAATATTGATCTCTGCCTAGACAAATTAAGAGAGTATGGACCATAGTTTCAGATTTTCTTTCCAAAGCGCAGTTTTTGCACTCATAATCCAATTTCCTGTCTGTCATTGCCATCTGTAGAGCTAGTTGAGCTTCCTAATTCTGCAAGCCACAACCCCAAGCCTGAAGAGTATATTGGCTTTACTTTGGCCAGCCTCTGTATTCCTTGCATCCAGGTCCTTCAAGCTTTACTAGACCTGTGCAGGCTCTGAGCCTGCCCAGGGGAACCATGCCTGCCTCTGGCCAGTTGATAAAGAGCAGAGCGTCATTCGGACAGATTTTCAGTAGTGAAGCAAAAGGTGCTCCTAGGGCAGGAAACTGGCTCACTGTCTGGAGGGCTGGAGCAAAGCAAGCTTCTAGCATTCAGGCCTCTAAATGTTTCTATGAGGCTAAGTGAGCTCGATCTGTGGAACTGAGGTGGTCTTCTAATCCCTACGTGCATGTGGGCCTGTGCCATCACCAAGGGTAGGCGATGCACAGCAACCAGCAGGGTCATTTTGCGCTCTCCACAGTGTGCAACTTAATATAATGCCCTGCTTCCAGCCAAGCCACTTCGCACGTCCAAGAGAATGAGAAAGACCAGAAGGACTAGAGCCTTTCTAGTCTGAGAGACTAGAAAGAGCCTTTGGGCTGAGAAACACTACTCAGGATTTAAATCCAGGTCTCGCCTTCGTTTTGGCCTACACCTGTAGCTAGAGCTTTGTGAAAGTATCTGCATAAAACCCTAACGGGGCAGCTGCTCTCGTCAGCTCAGGAAGCCGTGAAAAACGAATCCCAAGCAAAGATGCTCGTTGTAGTTTTAGAGCTGGGGACCTCAAGGTCCTGAGTCAACGAGGGTCAGTCCTTCCACAAACTGAATGAATGTGACTATGGCCATCCCTGCAAGGAAGGGGGTGTTTATTCCTATATGCTGACCTTTTGCATAAGGCAAATCATCTAGTACTGTCACCATCCCACCTTCCTTCTTAGCTGCAGGCCTTTCATCTTCCTGTCAGCTCCCTTCTTATCCTGCAGATCACCCACCTCCCACAAATCTCCCTTTCCGTCCCAGCTTGACGCGTGCACTCTCTTCTCCTGTGTGCCATTTCACAGAATCACAGAATCGTTCAGGTTGGAAGGGACCTCTGGAGATCATCTAGTCCAACCTCCCTGCTCAAGCAGGGTCACCTAGAGCATATTGCCCAGGATCACATCCAGACGGGTTTTGAATATCTCCAGGGAAGGAGACTCCACTACCTCTCTGGGCAACCTGTTCCAATGCTCTGTCACCCTCACAGCGAATTTCCTTGGCCCTTCCGTCACACCTTTCCCTTCTCAAGATTTTACTCCCGCAGTTTCTTCCCTGCTTTGCATACTGCCACTCCCCACATCCTCTGTGTTGCCTGCCAAGCTCCAAGGCTGGAAACAGCTGTACAAATACAAATGCTGTGACCATAAAGAGCATCATGGTTAAGTCCGACGTGCTCTTTCACTGACTTCCACTTGGTGCTACCTTGTGCCATGCCAGGCAGTCTTGCCATGCTTGACCTGGCACTGCTGCATGGCAGGAGGGTTGCATGTTGGTAGACTTACCCTGAAATTTGCTGCAGGTCTTGATATCAGGGACTCACCTGTGCATCAATAATCTTCTGTTTGGAATCCACAGCAGCCTGCATTTCTGCATGGTCTTTCTTTAATTCCTCCTCAACTGACATCAGTCTGGCAGTAGAACAGGCAAGAAAAACATATGCTTTTAGGATGCTGAGCACATAGCCCTTGTTTGGAAAGTGGTTTGTACTGCTAAGGAGCTAATCTGAGCGCTGCGAGGAGGAGGGGCAGGGGAAAGAATCCTGTAGCCTTGTAACTTCTCACCTCCCCAGACTCCTTATAGTAAAGGTTGGTTTGGAGCTGGTGGCTTTGTGAGAAGCTATCATCTTCTTTACGAGAAAAAAAAAAAAGAAAAAAAACCCCAGCACATCCAAAGCACCCCCAAAGAAAGAGCAGCGACAGCTTAGGGTATGGCTGAGTGCCCTGTGTGCACCACAGAGCATTCATTTCTTCATCTGCTCCATTCAGACAATTTCACTCTGTCTTGCAGCCATGCTAAGCCATGCACACTCCCAGCTCTCGCGCGGCTTGACAGTGACCCAGGAGGCTGCGTTTTTTCCACTAAGGCAAGATTGCTTTGATCGCTTCTTAGCAGGATCAGACGCCTTGAAAGGCAATGGCCTTTTGTAGCAAGCATGCAGTGTCAAGAATACATTAATTACATTTGCTGGTCTCTGTCACATCCAGCTGCCCAGACCTTAAGTCTTACACATGTCTAAATCAGCCACCCATGGTGAATGATTCAGATCACTTCCTCATTTAGTTCTTGACACCCAAGGAAGCAAAGGGGTGATGTGTGTCTCTGAAGCACAAAGCAAGGTCTGTGAAATAGAGAAGCTAGTCTACAGCTGGGACAGGCCTTGTATAGCAGCCTCCATCATCTATACAAGGCTGAGCCCTCTCATTTGGAACAGCAATTCTGAGGCATGTGCGGAGGTGCTCCGGGTACCTGCAGCTGTGCATTCAAGCATGAAAGGGACATGCACTACTTCCTCTCACACACGAACCAGTATTTCAACATCATTTTTTTCCTGGGTGTTAATGCTCTAGGCACCTCTATAACAGACTGCCCAAATGCTTAAGTGAAAAGCGAGACCTAAGGCTGACCAATTAATTTATGAAGGCACATTAAAAGATCTAAGTTGGCTTGGCTTAGGTAAGGATGAATCTAGCTGGACTGGAAAAAACTATGTGCCAGAGAAACAGAAACACATTACCCCGGCCTGGGAGAAGGGGATTCATAGCTATGAGTGACGGGATGGTGATGAGATCTTCAGCTAAACATCAGAACATTTCAATCATGAGATTACTTCTGAGAGAAACAGAAGAGCCAGCTTGCCACATCCTCCTGAGAGCTCGGTCTGGTTGCCAGCTGTCAGTTCCCTCTCAAAGTTCGGCCTCTGAGAGTCAGGAAAATGAGAATTTTTGCTTGTCCCAGGTGACAGTGTTGGGTGGGACCCAAAGATTCAGGGTTTGCAGAGCTGAGCCTAGGAATCCCCCAGGGACTGTAATCCAGACTGGTAGGAAAGGAACAAACACTGGCAAACCCTCATGGGAAACCTGCCTGCACCTCCAAATAAGCTTAATTCTCCCGAGCAGGGGTCAGCTCGACTGCTAGCTGGGCTGCGTGCCTGCCTTCCTCTGATCCACAGCACTGTGTGTGATGAGCACACACCCGTCTTCCCTGTACCTGCTGATGATGCCCTTCATCTGGATCTCCTTATCCTCTTGCTGTCTTCGGAGCCGCTCCTCGCTTTCCTCAAGCCTGGCCTGGTACTCCAGCATCAGCTTCTGTGTCGTCTCCTCCTGGCATTTGAAGCGTGTCTCATACTCTTCCAGCTTCTTGTTGGAGATGCGAAGCTTGTCCTGCAGCACTACTAGATCCTGTTGGTACTACAGTACGCAAGGACACACACAGGAGGAGAAAACACATGTGGCATGTTACCTCGTAAGGCTTTGCCCTTGCCAGGATTTCCCTGTAACCCAGTCCTGCCCCCTTCCTTGCACTGGCCTATCTGCGAAACCGTATCAGATAACCCTGCTTGCTGCCGACACATCTTCAGTCTTCTCCACACTGTGTTGTGCCGCATTCCTCTGGGATGGTAGACCACTGGCAGGTTCAGAAAATGGGTTGTTAGCAGAGTTTGGCATTTCACATGGGGATGCAGTAGGGTGACTCAATGGCAAATGCATCTGGGATCTTCCTCAAACTAACAGTGCAGGGCTAAACACAGGCAGGAAAAGCTGCACTGGTGGGGTTTTGGGTTTACGCATGAGCTCTGCAGTCTACAGCAATAAACACAGGGTGCTTCAGAGTTGCTGAAGGCCAAGCATGAACTGTTAACACCAGTTCCTTCTTTGCGCCAGGCAGCGGATGCGGCTGCAGTAACTGACGTAGGACAGTCTAGTCTCAGAGCAAAGTGGTCACAGTTCTCCTGAAGTGCCAGGCAAGTCCCCAAGCAAGGAGGGCAGAGCAGCTGCTCTGGGGCTTTAGCAGCCCAGGCTAGCTGCACAATACATAGCAGTGCAAGCTTTGCTTCAGTGCAAGGCTACGCTGGCAGTCCAGCCCTCCTCCGAGACTGCCAGCACAGTTGTCAGCTGGTGCATTGGTTTTGGTAGGGTAAATGCCGTTCTACTGGGAATGTCAAACTCATCTCATGCAGGCCATCAATCAGCTGCCAGACGGCACTCCATCCCTTGTGTGGCTCTAATTCCACCTAGCATCCATAGTTTTTTTTGCTCAAATCCATAGGGATTTGAGCAAATATACAGGCAGCTATTAGTGGACCGCAGCCCACAGAACCAGAGGCAGGGCCAGGTTCAACTCTCATGGAAGGCAGTGAATGTCAGAGAGGCTCCTAACACGGCAAGAGCTGAGTGAGTGGTACTGCATTTTGTGGCCTGTTATTTTAAACAACACAATCAGACGTCAAACCAGGGTTCAATGGGAGAAGAGCTGCTGCGTGACACCAAGACCCCACAGATTGTACTAATCATACAAACGGAGCTAAAATCAGTAACAGCAAAAGAATCACATAAAACAATTACAAAAAAATGAGAGCTTTCTGACTCAGTAAAACTGGGTCCAGCTATTGCAGAAGCACAGCATTCAGTACAACTTGCTTTGATAAAGGAAAACTCCAGTGCATATCTGTACAAGAAAAAAGAGACTTCAATTTCAAAAATTTATCTTTGAAAATTGTTTTAAAAAGATCTCCACTGTAATAACCTTAGAATAATTAGCACAGAGCTGATATTTTGACAAGCTGTTTAAAGTGTTTGAGACAATAAGAAATTCCATCTGATTCATGAAGATTTTTCAGATATGCTTCAAAGCACGTTACAAAAGGCTACGTTGTTATTCATGAACTGACAGAAATGTGCTTAATCTTGTATTCGTTAGCTGAAAGCATGGCCTTTAAGAGGTTTGGCCATCTCCACCTGTGTGAGCATTCCAACAATGAACCTGCTTGTTGAGTCCTAATTTTGAGAGTCCTGCTGGGGAGTTTTACCAGAAGATCAGCTCTTTGCGAGAGGCGAACACAGCCATGCTGCTTCACGTGTAGCAGTCAGCCAGCTCTCCAGCTCATGTAACTCCACACAGCTTTCCTAATATCAAAACACTCCACAAACTGACTGGCTGGCTAAGAGCAAAAGTAACTGGATTGAAAGTTTATGTTCAAGTTCATCAAGTTTTGTTTAAGTTCATCTGGATTGAAAATTTATTGTGCTGATGGTCTTCCTGAATTGCCCAAGTATTCGAGTCATGGCAGGCAGAGTGGGAATGACCTATGAGCTCCTCCTGCCGGGGCAGAGACAGTCACAACAGATCACTGTGGTTTTCCTTTAAGCAAAGCTTTCACTGAGGCACTGAAAAGACACGGTTTGCAGATGTAACCTGGACTGATGGAGGGAACACAAAACACCCATACAGTTGCACAGAAGCAATACAATCAGACAGAAGGGAGTTGCTCAAACAGGAAAGATTGAATACCTACCCTAGCCTTAAAATAGGAGCAGCGTAAGTGAGCTCAAATGATAGCAGGAGAGGCCTCAGAGACCGTAGGAGTCGTTCCTGTCTCTAGAACACTTGTCTCATTCTTGGTTACCATTCAAGTCTTATAGTAATGGGGAGAGAGATTATGCTAATGAAGATATTTAATGCTAGTGACTGATATGACAACAAAGTAACAAAAGATGCTGCATGGCAATGAGATACCAGGCTCCTGCGGGGGGGGTGGG